AATATCAGCAGCCTGTAAGACACTAATGAATAACACGGGAATATATCGGCTCATCGTTTGCTTCCCTCCTGTCTCATCCACACTTCACACCTCTCCTCTCCTCTTCTATCTTTCTCTCTGTTCCTTCTTTAATGAGAAACACCTGTTAGAGCTCCTGTCCCTTGTTAGCCCTCCCTCATCAGCTTTCTCATCCCTCTCCTCTGGTGTGTGTGTGTGTGTGTGTGTGTGTGTGTGTGTGTGAGCACAGTGAGTGTGTGTCCTGGGGCAGCAAAGGACATTGTAGAAACTTGTAGAGAAAATATGCAGCTGCTATAAAAACACCTTTATAACACACAATGTGAAACACACACACACACACACACACACACAGGAAGAAGAAGAAATGAAGACACAACAACTTTTCTCTGCGCTGCCGACACAGAAATTATTCATTTGTAGATTAAAAAAACCAGATTGAATAAAATAATGACACAGGACCACACTGCATTTATTTTATTCCCATGTTTGTTTTTATATGAATTACAGAATGGATCTATATAAAGGGACTTGACACAAAGTGGTGGTTCTCTGTTCTTCTCGTCAGTTGTGTATCAGGGCATGAACATGACCGTCTGTTACCCCAGTGTGGGACAAGATGGCATCCAGAATGAAGGCAACGCCGTCGCCATCATTGGAGCGGCCATCATGTACTGCTGTGTCCTCTTCGCATGGTGAGTCATTCATCTGTCGATGAGCAAATGGAAAAGTATAGAAAAGTAAAATAACTTCACAATCATAAGAGTTAAGACCTCCACCAACTCCTCATCAAACTACTTTTAAATCTGCTGGATCCAGATTTTTACTTGGACCAAATCACACCATGAATATCATGACTGAATTTGTTCTTTCTTGCTTTGTGTCAAAACCTTCCATGAAATTTTGTTTGGCAGTTTTTGTGTAATCCTGCTGTCAACCAAACCAACAGATCAACAGCTGGTGAATCAATGCAGAAGTTTCATCACTTATTGATCGTTGATAGAATTCTAATATCTAATGTCCCACAGTAATGAAGCTTCCTACCTGGCTGAGGTGTTTGGTCCGTTTTGGATGATTAAAGTTTATCGTTACGAGTTCCAGAAAGCAACGTGCTGCTTCTGCTGCCCTGAGGAAGAGGAAGGTTTGTTTACATCTGATCATTCTTCTGTTATCAGTGATTTACATTGTGCTATATATATATGAATAAATATATATATATCATATATATATAAATACAGACTCAGTCATAGATTTGTCTGTTTCAGCTGAGGATGAGTTTGTGATTGACGATGAGGACAAAGGTTGTCAGAAGGTTATTCACAACGAGACCCAGCGAGTGGCCTACAGCTACTTCTTCTTCCATTTCGTCTTCTTCTTGGCTTCACTCTATGTGATGATGACGCTCACCAACTGGTTCAGGTCAGTCAAGTAAAGGTTTTTCTCATGTAGGGAGTGTGGCACGTCTTTAGTGACTGAACATCATCAGCTCCAATCTGATGATTCTGCAACATAATAAAATAGAAAATATTAATGTACCTTAGAAAGTGACGGCTTTTGGTTCAAAACTACAGAATGGCTGAAAGCTACATTTTATTTTGTTCATTAATTCCACTGTGCAAATATCGTTAATCAACAGATTAGAATTAAAGTTCATGAATCAGAATCATGAATTTGTTTTAATGAACTGGACTGATTCACTCATGTTTGAATTGTTTTGCAGTTTGTTTATGGATTTAGAATAATTTAAGTGGATGGCTGAGGGGATAGATTGAGGGTCCAGAGGAAGGGTTGAGGGATGAAGAGGAAATCAGAGTGATGGATGGATGGATGATGTCAGACCTCAGCTGGTGGTTGGAGGAAACCGGGGCAGTTAAGATAAATGGAAGAAAGTGTAGGTGTGACAACTGTTAATAAAGATGGACGACACAACTCCACTTCCTCCTATTTCAACAAAGCCAAAATATCAGGATGACAGAAACCATGTCATGTCGTCCATCTTTATTAACAGTCAGGGGGTGTGGCCTCTGAATCTAGATATAAAACTTTAAAACCTCTCAATAAGATTTGTCAACATGAGTTGAACTGTGTCACCAGCTACGAGTCGGCAGTGTTGGAGACGACCTTCACCCACGGCAGCTGGTCCACCTTCTGGGTGAAGATGTCGTCGTGTTGGGCCTGTGTCATCCTCTACCTCTGGCTGCTGCTGGGCCCTCTGTGCAGCTGCCAGTCCGAATCAAGACCTCGCCGCTCACGTATCAAACGACGCTCAGCATCGTCGCGTCACGTCACTGTCAGTGTCTGACAGCCTGTGAGGGGCCGGCAGGACGACTAGGGTCAAAAGACTGAGAGCTTGTTTGTGGCACCTCTCAACAGAGGGTATCAGGAAGGAGGTCTCAGGGGTCAGAGACTCACGGACCAATCAGAGAGCTTCGTGCCCTGCTGATAAGAGCTGATGTCACAGGCTGGACAACATGAACTTAAACCACTGGACTCTGCTGTGGAAACACACTTAATACAGTGTATTGCCAAAGGGGTTAAAGGAGTGAAGTGTAACTCTGTGTAATGTGAGAATTACAGTAATTCAGTGAAAACAAACTTATTATGGTTTCATTTTGGTATTATTTTCAGTTTTTAGCTGTTTTTAGATTATTACTGTTACAAGAGAGGAGCAGTTCTAGATATTTGCTGTAATGTTGCTACAGAGACATGCATCCCTATTTATACCATTATTTTTCTGATAAAGGAAAACCGTCTGATTGTTGACGGGCAAAGTTTGTGATCATGAACAAATCTTTCTTGGTGTTTAAAGTCCAATCAAACTCAAGAGCTGGTCCGAACACTAGTTAGTAAGTATTATAAGTAGTTAATCAATAATCAAAGAAATTAAGTAAACATTGAGTCAGATCTCCGTCTAAATCATTTCAAGTGTCCTCGAGCAAGACACTGAAGCCAAATGACCCCTGACAGCTGTCAGTGATGTTTGAGTGGTGCTGCACATAGATGCACTGTATGAATGTGAGTGATTTAAAACTGAACATTGTTCTGTGAACACGTAAAGACATTTACTTTTAATTTAATTCAATTTTATCTGTATAGCACTAAATCATAATATACGTTATCTCAAGGCTCTTTACATAGAAGGTCAAGACCTTAAAATCTAAATCTTCTCTTCAGCTGTTTTCAGACCTGAACTGAAGCTCTGACATGTTCCTCACATGTTCCTGACATGTTCCTCACATGTTCCTGACATGTTCCTCACATGTTCCTCACATGTTCCTGACATGTTCCT